TGAATACGCAGTTGTACTCAAGCAGATAGCAGAAGGAATACAGGCAGATGAGCCTCCGTCTCACTGGGGGATTAACTACAGTGCTCACTGAATGAGCCACACAAAAGCAGAGCAATTGGGGGGTTGAAATATGGCGCTCTGATGAAGAAGAGTTTGAGCCAATCAGCACCTCAGTGCTAATCTACAGTATCAGGATGCCTTTACACACCAGACACTCGGTGTCATAAAGGGAGGAGGAGAACGAAGACTGACGGAAATGTTCTTCCAGCTCTCGTACAAAGATGAACTTTGAATTGAATGTCCAGATGTTTAAAGATGTACAATTAATGATTGTTTTTTATATTTCCAATGACCAGACATGTGTTAAATAGTGGTGATAAATATATTTTGTAAAATCAGATTACACTTTCACACTAAACAAAACTAATAAATAAATATTTTCAGATTATAAAGTATTGAATAATAAGGTATTTCTAATATTATAACAGATAATGTTAATATCCTTAATCATCCAGCAATCAGGCTTAACAACACTACTCTGTAATGTATTGTCCATGCACAGACAGACCTAAAATGGTGTTTCAAGTACTGGATTAATTTCAGTTTTGGCCCAAAACAAATATTTATAATAATTCATATAACAATTATGTAGCATATTTGATCCTCAAATTAGAGAATTATAATTTAAAGAAATTGATATTCTATATTCAACATTAGATAAACACAGAAGAACCCTTTCCAAGTACCATAAGTAGATTTCCAGGTAAGTATGGCTAATAAGAATAAGTGATAGACTTAATTTGGTACAGATCAGTTGTAGCATTTACAAATGTATGAATTAAAGTTTTAAGAATGTTTAATCTTTCCTTTCCAGGTTTTTACAAAAGTCTTTGAATATTTGCCTAACTTTTCCTTTTCAGATTTTGAACAATGTACTTGACTAAAATGAATGTATTGATTTTACTAAGACGAAGTGCCTTACTCTTGACTAAAGCGTAATGAAGTAAACGTAAAGTAATCCTAAAATTGAGGACACTGCAACTTTGCCGATTACAGATTGATCAAATCACCACTGTGAATTTTATGCCTTAGCTGGATCTCTTATGATCCTAAGTTTTAAATGCTTTTGACTAGTGATTGCCTTAAAGCAAATCTTTAAGCTGTTTCTGGTTTTGATTTTATAGTTTGATAAATGACATTAACTAATGGTTTAAATGATAAAAGATATTAGTTTAAAACAAATATTTTGCTATTATGTATCTGTGTTTTTATGTGTGTTCATTATTATGCTTTTGACAAAAGATGCTCCAAACACTGATGAGAGATAATTGTTCCTATTATGATTGCCTGTATCAATCATTGTGATTGAATGTTTCAATCTTACTCTACTTTGTGATGTAATTGAATGTAAGGTGAGACCACACTCGAATCTGAAGACGCCTATTGATTTAAGTATTGACCAGAATTATTAGACTAATGTTTTAAGGTTATCAAAAATGATAAAAAGAGAGGAACTGTTAAGGAATAATTCTTCTAGATATCTAACCTTTTACTCTGACATGTGTTATCTCCTTTAAGGAAAGGCCTTGGTGCCATATGTGTTGTTGTCACCAGTGTGTGACCGGTCAACTTGACTGGCACGAAGGGTAATTGTTGTGGGAACACTGAGGCACTTCTTTATCGGTGTTTGTGGGCTCTAGGATGTGAAATCCTTGAGGCCATGAGCGTCGGACGCAGGTGACTCAGTGTTTAGTCTACTCCTTCAGAGATGTTGATTTCTCTCTGTGAACCCGTTAAAAGGTCTAGCATAGAGAGAGGTTCTTCAGAATTGACGTGGCAACTCTACCGTGTGGTCAGAACCTCTGACTCTTTGATTTGTGATGTGAATCCTCCGGCCGAATACTCTGAATAAACCCATCAGTGTTTGACATCAAAGCTCCAACTCTCACCGTGTCTCCTTCCTGAGTCGGTGACTCCATGCATTACTACACAGAAGTTTCCTCCACACAATGTATATATTTTTTATATCAAATGTTGTCCCCTATCTTAAGTGCTTTTGCTCATGCATTTTGCATTTGGGATTAACATTCCACCCAACACAAGGTTTTAGATTTTTGGACCAAGCATCTCACATTCAACCCGGTATCACGGCAAGACGTGAACATGTGACGATCTACCATGCTGGGAGACGTGAATATATCACGGTTTCGTCCCTTCAAACGTGACAGTTACACGGTATTGTTAACATGGCCCAACCAGTGGAGAAATACCCGGAAGTGCCAAGCAAATGGTCTACCGCGCCTATTGGTCGGTTTTTATTGTCAAAATTAGATGTTTTTAATTTATTTTTTAATCATCACACTTGATTTCGCCGATTTTCTTGTTGCCCTAGCTGGTCGACACCTCTTTTAGCAGAAACAAAGGCTACATTAATGTATTAAATCGATGTTAATCCATGTGTGTGGAGGCCAGGATGTGGAATTAACGGACGTGACGTTGTGCGATTGCGTTGCCAGGCAACGCAATTTACAAACTCTTCAACTACAACCCTAATTATATTTTAAAACATTTTAGAAGGCCTCACGAAATACTTTAATGTAAATTAAAATGTAAATGTGAAGGGGTGTGTGTAATGTGGTGATTGACATTATTCACCCACGGATCTATGGGTTGGGGGTATTGTTCCGCACAGACATTTTAGTTAAACGGACTTACTGTTGATGTGAAATCCAAAAAAAAAAACGTTATACACCATAACGGTGCACAGCTGATATAAAAAGACTTGTCGTTTTTAAAGATATTACTGATTTTCTTTGAATATAAGAATGTAAATACTGAGTTGAGAGAATAGTCAGGGGATTTGGGTGATGGGAGACACATCTATGGATTCAGAATTTCAATAGCTTACTGTTAAATGACAGATATACCTTTCTGTCTGTGATGTTTTACAAATCAGATATTATAAGTAAAACATGTGAAATAATATAGCAATATCCTGTACAATTATGTGAAAACATGAATAAAACTACACATCTTCAGATGTTATACATACACAAGTGTCCTACACTAATAATACAAAGTTATTATGGCTGTGTGCACCGCCTAGTGGTTAAAGCACGTTATTGAATTAGTTGTGTCTATGATATGTCAATGATCCTTAGAAAATCTTGAAATCTTGAAAGGGATATGCAAAATAGCCATTATATACAGTCTTTAATTAACTATTAGTAGAGAATAACGAGTAATGAATATACTTTATAGGGATCTGCAGATAAATGTTTAGTCTTCTCAAGCAGCAACTATCAAATATCTCTCCTGATTGTTGGCACTTGACAATCACCTTTCCCTGAATTTTACTCAGGTGTAACTAAAGCCTGATTTAAGGGTTGTTTATATTTCACATCATTAATCAGAATCTGCAAAGTAACTAAAATAAATGTAGTGGAGTAAAAATACCAGGTTAACCTCTGAATTGTGTGGAGTAGAATTGCTGTTTTGTTTAGTAATGGATATTGAATATGGAATAAAGGTTTTGACAAGACCTGGTGTAACAATAATCAAAAAGGACATTAAAAGAGCTCCAGATGTCAATGATCTAAACAAAACAGCACACCTGAAATGTATTAAATACTTTATTAAGGGCAGTGAATTAGTTTTTTCTGTATGTTTTTCAAATCAGTGTTATACAAATGTCATAGACAGTGTTACATTGCTATTATTATCCTTAAAATATATATAAAACAAAACCATTTATGATCTTTTTTTTCGGGTGGTTTACTAATGACAGTTAATTCTGTTTCTGCTATTGATGGTTTCATTTTTGTGAAAAATAATCAAATAATCAAATTCAATAACGTGCTTTAACCACTAGATGTGCCTTTCTATCAGCTGTGCACCGTTATGGTGTAAATACAGCCTATCTACCAATTGGATCAAATATAAAAGTCAGCCGAATTATTATTGATACTGCAAGGAGACGTATTGTGTGAAAATAAATGTAAGATGTTGTTTAATTGCGGATATATTTATGATCCACGTCACGTTTTCAGTTTTGGCGGCAGTGCTTCCTGTTTGTCCAGAAGTCTTCTCATCAGGGCTCTATAAATACAGAACTACGGCAGATGTGTCATATTTAATGCAGCCAAACCGTGTATTACAATGCCGTTATGTGATGACCTCCAAAGAGAAAAGCAAGCAAACTCGGAATAAAGTATTATTTTATTTTTTTTAAATGTTTTCGGATTTCACATCAACAGGAGTCCGGTTAACTAAAATGTCCGTGCGGAATAATACCCCCAACCCATAGATCCGTGGGTGAATAATGTCAATCACCACATTACACACATTCCTTCACATTTACATTTTAATTTACATTAAAGTATTTCGTGAGGCTGTCTAAAATGTTTTAAAATATAATTAGGGTTGTAGTTGAAGAGTTTGTAAATTGCGTTGCCTGGCAACGCAATCGCACAAAGTCACGTCCGTTAATTCCACATCCTCACCTCCACACACATGGATTAACATCGATTTAATACATTAATGTAGCCTTTGTTTCTGCTAAAAGAGGTGTCGACCAGCTAGGGCAACAAGAAAATCGGCAAAATCGAGTGTGACGATTACAAAATAAATTAAAAACATCTAATTTTGACAATAAAAACCGACCAATAGGCGCGGTAGACCATTTGCTAGGCACTTCCGGGTATTTCTCCACTGGTTGGGCCATGTTAACAATACCGTGTAACTGTCACGTTTGAAGGGACGAAACCGTGATATATTCACGTCTCCCAGCATGGTAGATCGTCACATGTTCACGTCTTGCCGTGATACCGGGTTGCTCACATTACCTGTCATCTTAATGATGCCAAGCATAAGCTGGACTTTTTACTCCAGTAATAGTAAAATCAAGTCCCTCCAGACATTTGACCCATCCTAAATAGTAATTAACCCTTGGACTATTAAAAGTAAGGGCAAATTGCTAGAAAGCAGCAAAGTCTTTAGGGTTTCTTGTCTTTGTTTTTGGGGGAAATCTTTCAAATAGCTGAAAATAGCTGAAAATACACCAAAGATCAGGTTGACATTTAATTTAGATTAAATCATGGAAGAATATGTTTTTTTCTTGCTTGCAGGAGTTCTCATCACCAACAAAATACGCAAGGCCTGGAAGAGATGGAGCAGCAATACGTGACGACTGTAGAAAAGATCAGAGGTTGGTAATGGATGTGTTTATTGTGTGCACATTTAAAATATTCTGTATTCAGGCACACCAGAATTCAATATAAAACTGCCCTGGAGGGACTGAGGAAGAAGACTAAACTAGACACTATGATGTCCTGTACCATAATATTCATTTATGTCTTCACTTGTAAATCTGATCAGTTATTTTCATGTAAATGTAACTAGTGAAAAGGACAAATCATAACTGTGTTTTACCGCAGGAGACATGCTGCGTTACCTCCAGGAGAGTCAAGAGCGAGCAGCAGAGATGATCCGCGTGGAGGTGCAGAGGGAGAGGCAGGACACCGCCAGGAGGATGCGGCGCTATTATCTGACCTGTCTGCAGGAGTTACTGGAGGACGGGGGAAAGAATACAGGGCAAGAGACCGTAATGTCCTAAACTTGTTTGCTTGCTTCTTCAGGACTCCTCCGGCTAATTGTATTGATCTTCCTGTCCTCTGCAGGGCTGAGAAGAAAATAATGAATGCTGCTAGCAAGCTGGCAGCCATGGCTAAAGTACTGGAGACGCCTGTCAGAATTAAATCTTCAAAGAACTACAGCTTACAAAGTGAGTGCTGTCGAGTAGAAACTGCTTGATTGACACCTCACACCCAGACTTTGAGCATTCAGCATGCAAAGCTCAGCACACACCGGGAGCCCACGCCTGGCTCCGAGGGCGAGGAGCAGCGGGGGGGCCGTCCCCGGCCTCAGTTCTCTGAGCTGAGACAACGGCAGCAGGACAGCGGCTTCGACAGTCCGTTCTACCAGCAGAAATGACAAAGTGAGGGCAGGTATGAAGTGAAGTAGGCAGATAAACTTTGAACTGAGTTCTAACAATTTCAGTAAACTTACATTAACGTGCCTTTTTTTAATTAAGCGTTTAAAGTTTACTCGATGTAGAACCGTTGCCTTCATGGATGTTTGCAGTGTGTGTCTTTGTGTTGCTTTAACATTGTTAACAGAATAGTTTGACATTTAGGAAATTGGCTTATTTGCTTTCTTGGCAAGAGACATTGATGGAGATTGATACTCTCAGACACTCAGTCTTGAGTTCGCAAAATATAAACCTGCAGCCAGTAACCTAAGTTTAGCGTACAAACTGGAAATGAGGTGGAAAATCAAATCCAATTGGGATTTCCAAAGTTCGCTAAAAACAACCCACCAGAACAGAATGTTTGTTTACAAAACAGTGTTGAATATAATTGAGTAGAATAACAAATTGTAATGTTATGGGGGCTTATGTGATGATATAGTTCCAGTAATACTGTGAGTTAACCAAACAAGAAATAGTAAACAAATTAAATATAATTTACACAAGAAATAAGGTTCAGAGAGACACAGGCTAGTTTTCTCCACATGTTCCCAGCTTTTGTGCTACGCTAAGCTAACTTTACAGACATGATAGTGGTTTCAATCTTAATTTACCTCTCGACAAGAAAGCAAGTTAGCGTTCCAAAAGGAACTTTTTCTTTAATGCAGAAATTGTTCCAGTGTTTCCAAAGAAACAACTTCTATGTCCTGGTCCAGATCATCTCAGAACAGGCGTAACACTCCTTTAAACAAAACAACATATTTGTTTTGTGATTTGTTTATTAGATCTCTCATATGCCTGTTGAACATTTCAGTGTAGCTTTAAAGCTGCAGGTGTTTGTTCGCAATGTCAGTGAGGCACTTAGAAGTGATCCTTTCATAAAGTATACGTGTATTTTTAGAAAAATATTACAGGTCAAACGCTGTCCACACTGTAATATTTAACTTGTGATACCTTGAAGACTGATACTGGCAGGTCACTGCACCCTGTACTGTAGACTGCCACAGAGAACTAGATTAAGTGTTCTGCACCTCCGTCGTTATGCCTGTTTTTATATTTTCATATATTTTATATAACGTTAATGAGATATGCTGTGCGTAGATCATAAATGTTTGTTTTTTTATAAATGTATTTAATTTGTTTTAATAAATATTATCATATGCTTGCAAATTAAGAGAGAATACATTATTTGTCGTGAGGGACGAGCCTCTTCAACAATAAGGGTTGCATTTTATATAAACCAATTATAATATAAACCAATAGATTCAGAAAACACTGGAGTCCTCAAAGGCTCGGCTACAAGGATGTGTTTGTAGATGCATGTATTATTGGTTTGGGCTTTTCATTGATATGTTAAGCAGAAAAACCTCAGATATAATCGATCTTATCCTTTCAGATTGTGTTTCGTATTGTTGTTGTGTGCAGGCATCACAGTGGCTTTGAGGAGGAAGTTCTCTGCATCTCAATTTTGGGACGACTGCAGGAGATATGATGTCACCGTCATACCCAATGTAGGGGAAATCATGCGTTACTTGTGCAACACACCAAATGTATCACAGACCTAACATTGGTGATACTACAAACCTCACCAAAAACACAACTATTTCAGACCTGTTTCATCCCGACACAAACCTAATGTTTTTAAATGGGTCACAGAACATAGGTCAAAGCTGCAGCTCTGCCCAAACACTGTAATCATTAACTAGGTCAAGTGTTCTGTCCTTCCTTTTATAAACAAGCATGCTGTTGCATCTAGACCAGGGGTCGGCAACCTTTTTGATATGAAGTGCCATTAAAAAAATTAATTGTTATCAGCGTGCCAACGATCGAGAATTATCAACGGGGGGGGGGTTGAGGAGCTTGACGCTCGTGAACTATCAACAGGAGGGGCGGGGGGGGGCCTCGCTGCGGGGAAGCAGTGTGTGGACCTGACAGGTCCACACACTGCGCAACTTACATGATGCCGAATTTAACAAACACATTTAAATAATTGGTTTAAACGGCATAATAATAAGGACGATCGTCCATTCTGTGATTCTCCAGAACACACATGTTATGATATTAGGGTCATGCAGAGTGAGATGAGATCGCTGTCCCTTTAAGAGAGAGAGAGAGTGAGCGAGCGTGTGTATGTTTCTGGAAGTGAAACGTATGGGCATAGATATGTCTCATAATTATTTGTGTGAACAGAAAAATAATTTGTGTGTAAATATGTGATTTGTAAATGTAAAACACCATCCACAAATGCATTTAAAAGATTTGCAAACTCACAAATAAATTTGCAAATGTAAAACGGATCTGCAAATACGCTAAATATTTTCACAAATAAAAAAAAGATCTGTGAATATCTCTTTAACATTGACAACTTTCGATCAGGCATTTGTGAATCCATTTTGTATTTGTCAACCAAAAATGCGCTTGCGGATCTCAAATCTCTGCTTGTGGATCGTCTTTTTACACACACGAAATTTTGAGACATACTTTCCGCCGGTCTCGGCAAAAAATCTACTCGTGTCACTCGGTTGTTTTCGGAAACCACGTGATGGCCTGCTGATGACAACATTTCCGCATGATTTCAAAGTAAGAGCATGATGGTTTGTTTAATACTCTGTTTTTGTATTATAATGAACAGCGGAACGTTAGATGCATTCTTCATCACCATCATCATCATGTTATAGTGATACAGTTAGTTTGTGTTAGTTTATTGGTTCAATACAGCATATATCGAGCACATTCGTATGCATTGATGTTGAAGTACAGGCTCTGCCACTTTCGGGTCCCGGAGCAGCTGGCAGCGAAGCAGCCCAGAGGAAACTCTTTCTTCATTGTTTTTTGTGTATTCAGTCAAGCGGGTCAAAGTTACAAAGCACTTCACATCTTATTAATCGGCCTAGTTTTACCTTACCAGTACAGATAAGGTCATCTGTAAAAAAGCACCGTATTTAGGTTAGCCTTCATAGTAAGGCTACATCAAATGTTATAATATTCATTGTGTCCTTTCTACTGTATATGCATATATTCCTGTCTATTGCTTTCATTTGTATTTCATGTTATTATGTTTATACTTGTTTCCACACATTTCACAATTTGGGATGAATGAAGTATCTATCTATATGTCCGTCTGTCCGTCTGTCCGTCTGTCCGTCCGTATAATATAATATATGTGAACTTCGTAATTTGAAAAATGATTGATTCGAAAATGATATGCTGCTACAGTACAGTACAAGTAGCCTACTTCTGGGTGTTTCATTCAAGCTCGGCTCCGTGTGTGTCTGTGTGGCACGAGTGAGCGAGCGAGAGAGAGAGAGAGAGAGAGCAAGATTGTTGTTGCTGCGCTAACCGATATTAGAAGCTGTTTCTACAACTAAGTGAAAGGAAAGTCCTCTCCTGTCAGATAACGTCAGCTCAGTGAGGTAAAGGACTCTCAGTGTTTAGATAGTTAACTTTAGTCTAAGTTATCTCAGTGGGTCTCAAAACAGTTTGATCACCATTTATGTAAACAAGTATTTCCGAGGCACACTTCATATGATCATTATAGTTAGGCTATAAAACAATAAGAGAATAAATGAAAAACAGGTATGAAATACTATATGACAGTAAAACAAGAATACAGTTTAAAAAGGGGAGTGATTTGTAAAATATCCATAAAGAAAAAGTACATCTGTTTACAGTTCTGTTTCATGGGTGTCTATCTATCTATCTATCTATCTATCTATCTATCTATCTATCTATCTATCTGTAGACAGACAGACAGACAGACAGACAGACAGATAGACAGACAGACAGACAGACAGATGGATGGATGGATATATGGATATATAGATGGATGGATAGATGGATATATAGATAGATAGATAGATAGATAGATACCTCATTCATCCCAAATTGTGAAATGTGTGGAAACAATAACATTAAATACAAATGAAAGCAATAGACAGGAATATATGCATTTAATGTAGCCTTACTAAGGCTGACCTAAATACGTTATTAACCGGCCTAGTTTTACCTTACCAGTGCAGTGGTAAGGTAATCTGTAGAAAAGCAAGATGTGAAGTGCTTTGTAACTTTGACCCGCTTGACTGAATACAAAAAAAACAATGAAGAAAGTTGAACCAATAAACTAACACAAACTAACTGTATCACTGTAACATGATGATGATGGTGATTGTTACGACCCTGGGTCGTTATGTCATTTGTGTGTAGATATTGTTCCCTCCTCCCGTATCTGTCCTGTTGTGTCCTACTTATACCGTATACTGGTCCTCTTGCTTGTCTTGAAAACCTCAGAAAAGAAACTACTTTAACCTGTCCTTGTTGGACACGCTTTAATTTATGCAAAAGTGTGAAACCCTTTTCTTTTGGTTGATTCTCGTTTTCTCCTGTTTATACGTCAGAGTAGGTAAGAAGCCTGTACGTTTATTTTTCTTATTTGTTAGGCAATATTTATGTGTTCAGAGATTTGTTTGTTTTGTGGGTTGTTGCGTTTCTTTGTTAAAAACTTTGGTAATTAAAATGACCAAACGGCATTCTCTGTCTCGGTGTCCATGTTCTTGGGAGTGGGAAGAGTTGGGAGAGGGCAATTTTATGCTGCGCCTAGTTTCCCCTAGATCTGGGCGTAACAGTGATAAAGAATGCATCTAACATAGCCGTGGGAACATGTTTCAAATGGGGGGTGCTGTGGGGATGACACCAGGGCCGGTTCTGACCAATTTGCTGCCCTAGGCAAGATTTTAGCTGGCATCCCCCACCCCCCCCGTCGAGGCGTGCAGGAAACTAAACCCACCTCCCCTGAACATGGGTCGACTGAAGAGTCTCGTCATGCCTGCCTACAAGAAGTAGCGCTGAGCAAAGTGACTAGAAGGCAACAACACACTTATAAAAAAAAAAAACACTTTATAAAGTCAGGCAACACTAACCAGGCTTCGTGTGATTCTGTTTATTTGTACCTTACTTTGACCATCCGTTCGCTGTTATTGATCATTGTGGAGAGACGTTTTGTTTTGTATTATAGCAGCTATCGGATGGAATCAATACATGGGCTGCAACTTAAA